TGCCTTTTAGGTTTTGCGAACCCAGACTCTTGGGTTTGCCTGGAGGTAAAAGAAAAAAAAAGGCTGGAGGAAGGAGAAGCCGGGGAAGAAGATGAGGGTATATCAGTAATTAAAAATAAAAAAATTTAGCATGTCATCAATTTTGCCACGTGGATTTTCCACGTAATTTAATAAAAAAAAGGAATGACTGTTTCTGTTAATTAACGTGCCACCTCAGCCAAAATTTAACGGAGGGACTAAAAAGGGACCGGATTTGTGAACAGTAAGGACCAAAAAAGAAATTTTTTCGGTACAGGGACCAAAAAAGAATTTTTTCCTATAGTAGAGAGACAAAAAAGGTATTTAACCTTTCTAGGCCCCACCAAGCTATCCCACTGGCCCTCAAGGCGTGAATTCATAGATAAATATATATATATATAGAGTGCGTATCCACCTTACTTAAAGATTAATAAGAAAATCATTTTAAAATTATTCATTTTAATAAATTTTTATTAAAAAAATTAAATTATTATATTTTTCAAACACATATTAAAATATTTTTTTCTTTTAATTTATTAAAAATAAAATAGAAAAATACTAACCTATATATATTACTGTTAAGAGTGTAAGTTTTAAAGTTAATAGTTGATAAAATTAAAATTTTTAAATATATTTTCAATGCGTGATTCAGAAACATCTTGATGGTTCAAATCTAAGAAAAAGGAAAAAAAAAGCCACCATACCACTCATCGCAATTAGTATTGAAGGTTCTGGTAAAAATACTCAAAGCTGATTTTTAGTAGATTAATTAAAAGTAACATAAATAAAACACTTGATACAATCCTCAGAGGATCAACATGACCAAATTGGAAAATCACAAAGGAGGAAAACAGGGGATACTTCATTTGGGCAGAGATTAAAAATAGGTGCCCTGATACACAGACCCAACGCAACAGACACCTTACACAATATACAAGTTCAGGGAAATGCTCCCCAATTTGTTTTCTTATATGTTTGAGCTGCTCCTGAAGGATCCAAGAGCTTTCACAGCCGCTGCTCTCAAGATATATTGGTGATAGAAGGCGGCGATGGCTGCGCCGATGAAGGGTCCGACCCAGAAGATCCACTGGAACAATTTGGACAAACACAATGGTTAGCTTAAGGCAAGTTAAAAACAGAGGAAATTAGGATCAAATTATGCAGGGAAAAGTGCATATATACTTGGTCATCCCAGGCCTTGTCGTTGTTGTAGATAACGGCAGCTCCGAAGCTCCGAGCAGGGTTGATGCCGGTGCCGGTGACTGGGATGGTGGCCAAGTGGACCATGAACACGGCGAACCCAATTGGAAGTGGTGCCAACACCTTTGATTAAAGAATTTTAAAAAATCAGTAACTAAAGAAAATGTAAGATAAGAAACAGGGGGCGGAATTTTAAATTTTAATGGGTACGTACAGGGACGTGAGAGTCTCTGGCGTTTCTTTTGGGATCGGTGGCAGAGAAGACAGTGTAGACGAGAACAAAGGTTCCGATGATCTCAGCGCCGAGTCCGGTGCCCTTACTGTACCCAGCACTGAGCTCGTTGGCACCTCCTCCGTACCTATCATAGTAAGCCTTTTGGAACGCCTTCACGAGCCCACATCCACATATGGCTCCCAAGCACTGAGCCACCATGTACAGAAATGCTCGGACCAGGGACACCTTCCTCGCCAGGAACAACCCGAAAGTCACCGCCGGGTTTATGTGACCACCTGCACATTTTCCCCAAAACCCGTTCAGTTGCCTCCCCTCTCTCAAACAGGAAACAGAAAATTTCTTAAGAATTCCGGAGAGGAAAGCTTACCTGAGATTCCGGCGGTGCAGTAAACGAGGACAAAGATCATCCCACCAAATGCCCAAGCAATCCCGAGAATCCCGACACCGCCACATTGATCGCCGGCGGAGATCTGGCTCTTGTACCCGATAACAGTCAAGATGGTGATGTAGAGGAACAAAAGGGTAGCAATGAACTCGGCTATTATAGCCCTGTAGAAGGACCATTTGATGAACTCTTCGGGGTCTATCAAGGGAGCTGGAGGCGGGTCATGGTAGTCCTTGGCGTGGAATTCACCCTGCCTACCAACTTCAATGTCCTTGGCCATGGCGGTTTAGTGAGATAGAGAAGTGATGATCCAAGAATGAAGAGATGGCCAGAGAAGCTTGTGAAGATGTTGATCAGAGAAGCAGTGGGGGGGGTTTATAAATGGGGAGAATGGGAGAAGTGTAAGTGATAAATTATCTTAGCTTTGCCGCCCCATTGTACTGATTAAGGTTTTTTTTCATTTTTTGAGGACCCACCCAAGTGTCTTTACCTCACAAGCTGTGCCGGCGTTGGTGTGGTCCCTCGTGATTTGGCAACTTGTCTTCCAAGAGAGTTCCGGAGTAGCGTATGGTGTTAGGACTGGCTACACCACTATAGTCTCTAGCTAGTACTGCTCGTAATTACTAATGGATTTTACTCCTTGAACCTAGTTCTTAATGTAGCACTTTTGACTAAGTTCTACATCAATTGTAGACGATGTGCAGGGTTAACAACCAATCGTTTACAATTGTAGGTGCTGGCGTCAATCCTGGCGACTATTGTGTGGCTCCCCGTGATTTGGCAACTTGTTTTCCAAGAGAGGTCTAGACTCTAGAGTCGTCTATGTTGTAAGTTTCCTCAACCACCTCTTAGGATTAGGAAAACTCCAGTCTTTAGCAACTAATAATTTGGGTTTCTTTAGTGCCTAGTTAGAAATTTATGTGAGGGGGTAAAATTTAAAGCTGCCATATAAAATTGTGAATTTTCAATTTATATTAG